AAGGCTTTGGACTAACTGTCCCTTATCACTGTATCTTCTGTGGGTTTGTGTGATTGGCTGCCTTGATATTCACCCTCAGCCTGCAACAAATATTTATCCGAGTGACATGTCTACTGGTCATTGTTTTTAGTCTTATAAAATTGGCTCATCTCAACACTAACATAGAACTGCTACTGGAAAATGTAATAGTCTATATCCCTAGAATGTATACCATCACCATCATCATTATCAAGACTGATTGAGTTCTAGCTGTGTTCTAGCAAGTTGAAAACTTTTATCATTTGATCTCCACAATTGTACTTGGGTAAATACTATCACAACCGCCATTTTACAGGGTGGAAAAACCAAGCCTCAGAAAGATCGAGACACTTGCATGAAATCACAACCATAGCATAAAAGAGACAAGGAATTGAACCTCAATAGTTTGTCTCTAGATGAGTTTTGATGTGTGAGGGAAAAGTTCTGATGAAAGCTTATAAACCATCCAATCAAAAGTCACTGGCTATTTGGCCTCGATGATTAGAGTAACCAATTAGCTCAGCTGTGCAAATGATTACACCATGATGTCATCAAGAATCGAGACTTGGCACGAACTCAACTCCAGCCTCCTGAGTTAGGTAGCAAATTCCAGCTACATGACCAATAGATGGTGAATTAATCCTGAATTTGCTAACACTCCTGCAACTTGCCTGGAACCTCACTTCTTCCAGGAGGGCCGAGATCTTGCTAACTTTAGCAACCACTTGATAGAGATAAAGGAATGCGTGGAACAGATCCTGGCACATAATAGGTGCACAATAAATATTTGTTGAGTGAACAAACATTTTTTCTTCAGGATTGAGGCTCATATTAGGAAATTGCAGCATTCCTTTCAGATGGAATAAAGAGAGATAGCTGGAGATGGGTGGGAACATGATGAAGGAAGCCTAAAACCAGGCTGTGCTCCACTTCCCAAGCTGTGTGTCCTGGTGCAGGGCCGTGTCTGCCTGGAGGAAGTGTGCCATATTCAAATTCTCACAAAGGTGCAATATGGGCTAGTATAACCCAGTCGGGGGGGGGAAATTCTTGAGATATGTGTCACCCAAACTGAGTACAGGTTAAATGCACTTTCAACAAATAGACTTTCAATAGACAAAGGAACAAAGGAACACTTCTGTGTCCCTGCCACTGACAATGCCTGGCCCTCCAATATTTTGATACAACAAGACGTGTTAGACTGAGTTAGGCTGCTTCATTACCCCAGGACTCCCCTGGGTCCACATGGGGTGGTGGAAAGAACACAGATGCCCACAGCTTGAAGAACACTCTTATTAAACGTGTATTTTTCAAACTACTATTATTCTTTACCTACTCCAATTTTTGGAGTTTTATCGAAGGCTTCTCAGACTTGGTTTAAGAAATAATGGTATTGTTTTGAGATTACCGGCTCTTTTTACTATTCTAGGAATTATTTTGAGCCTTGTCAATATCTTCCATGTATCCATGTTTACATCAATCTGTGCTGTCTTACAGTGCTTCTTAATTGGGGTGTTATTGGTATTGGGGGTGTGTCCATTCTTCATTGGGGGACAGTCCCTAGTATGGAAGGACATTAGTACTTTGGCCCTTTCAAAGCACCCCAAATCATCGAGACCACAACAGATGCCCCCTCTCCCCAACATTTCCAAATGCCTCCGTGGGGAATGGCCCAATCCCCAATGGAGACTCCCAGGTGCACCAATGATGTCTGAACTTACTATAAATTACAGATAAATGAGATTTGAAAATAGCCAGGATTCAATATCACAAAACACCCTAAAGAAAGCACAAAACTGACAGCATTGGTCAGCTAACTTTTTTCTCCATACCCTTCCCTCTTCCTTTTTGTCCTTTGGACTTCAGAGTCTTTGTGACAAAACTTATCAAGCCAGATCTACACTATATCAATGAGAAAACACTTCTAGCACCTTAGGGAGAATGCAATAGGGAGGGTGTAGAAGGTACCTTTTAGCATTTGGGTTTTACTTGTTTGGTGTTCTGTTTGTTTTCATGTGTAAAACATGAGGTCTCCAGGTTCCAAATCTATACATCTGTCTGGCAATTATTGCATGTAGCATAGTGCTAGGAGCTTGATATACTTTGTTTCATCTTTATAACACTTTTGCTCAATTTAAAACAGCTTTCACATTCCCATTTTATAGATAAAGAAACCAAGGCTTTAAAGAGGTATAAAACTTGCCCATAGTCAACTTTCTGTCTCCAGTGTCTGTTCTGGCACAAGAATGGTCTCTTGCTATAAAGCTATTGAAAAAAGTCTTGAGGGAAGGATTGGGGCTGCAGGGATTAGAAAAAGAGGGTTCTGTTCAAATCATCCCCCAGGGCGCAACAAGTGGCATCATTAGTATCCAACCTGTCACCACCAGCTGGAATGTTAGTTTGTCTCAGGCCAATGAGGCAAAAAGCCTTTTCAGGCAGTTTTCAGAGTGGCACTGGGAAAAGAGTGAATTGGCTGCTTCATTAATAAACCAGGATAGAATGTGGGCACCAGTGCCAGCCACAGAGTCTGCTGCTGCCCAGAGAATCTGGCTATACCATCATTTCCAGCCTCTCTGTAAACTGCCTCAAGACCGGATATCTGGGTAGAGGAAGGAAGGGAGGAAATTGGCTAGTTGGTCCTAAGGAACCAGATACAGTGTTTCCCTGAAAATAAGACCTACCCATAAAATAAGCCCTAGCAGGATTTCTAAGCATTTGCACAGTATAAGCCCTACCCTGAAAATAAGACCTAGTGATGGGCGTGGCTACGCAGCGTATCTGCACAACCCATGCATTTCGTCACAGAGCAGTAAAAAAGATGAGCAGCCCTTCTCATCTACCGCATGAGAGCTCTATTGCTTGACATGAGAGATTGGGGCCAATGGTTCTAAAGGAAATAGAGTTGCAAGAAATTCAGGATGGAATTCCGGGTTTGGAGAGTTATGATGATGTTCCAGAAGAAGACGACAACTATATTTGAATAAATGTAGATTGTTGTACCGTACTTAAAAAAAAAATAACACAACCCCTGAAAATAAGCCCTAGGGTGTCTTCTCGAGGAGAAATAAATATAAGACCCTGTCTTGTTTTGGGGGAAACACGGTACAATGGCTTCCAGGGCTTCAGTATAAGAAAAAGCAGCAGGAGTAAAACAAACATAATGACTCATTGATACCATTCATTCATGCATGCATTCATTTCATAATATTTAAGCATCTGCCACATGCCAGATTCTCTTCTAGGTGCTGAAGATACAGTAACAGACAAAACCAACAAATGTCCTTGCCCTCATAGAGCTTACACTCTACTGAGGGGACACAGATAGTAAACTCAAGAATAAATAAAACCATATCAGATGGAGAGAAGTTCTCTGCAAAAGGCAGCAAGGAAGAGAGAATAGAAATGACATTTGAGTAAAGATCTTATAATAATACCATGCTGGACACTGTTCTAAGTGCTTTACAGTTATTATGTCATTAATGCTCACACCAACTCCAAGAAATACGGCTATGGTTATTCCCATTTTACAAAGGGCCTGAGGTTCAGAGATGCAGTGACTTCCCAGATCATACAGCTAGAAAGCGGTGGACCTGGGATTTGAACCCAGACAGTCTAAACTGCTCGCTTGAAAGTTGATGCAAACACAGCCTGAAAACCGGGTTTGGGAAGAGGGACTTGCGGGTGCAAATGGAGTATGTGGGAACCCTCCAAGCGAATACGGTGCCATGGACAAGTAGGGGGACTTGAGGGGTGGCTTGCGATCTTCACCGAGCTGAATCAGGACTCCCGGTCTGCGGCCGGCCGGAGAGTTCCCTTGTCCAGCGGAGGCGAGGTGAGCCGGTGGGGGAGGGAGCGCAACTGCAAGGGTTGTCCCGGGACAGTGCCGGTACGAAGCTCACCCTGCCGCCACCCCCGGCCAGCTGCTCCAGTCAATAAGGCGCGGACCTAGCGGGTGCTTGTCGCCCTCCTGGTGGGGTTCGCCGGGGAGTTCCTACGAGGGTTGTAGAGGGTCGCGGAGCTGAGCTCGGGAAGGGCACCAGCGGGCTCTCCTCGAGGGGCGCACGGCTCGGGAGGCCGGCGCGCAGAGGGCGCGTGGAGCGGCACTGAGCGCGGAGTCCCCAGTGCATTCCTGGGAGTACCCTGGGCGGGCGCAGGACGGAGTGGTGCGTGAGGCGCCTGGGAGCCCTTTGGGACGCCGAGAGAGGCGGGGATAGGGTCAGTGCGCAGCAAATGGGGGAGGAACTAGGAACGAAAGGCACAAGTACTTTGCTGCTGAGAGGTAGCGGGTGTGAGTCAGCCTCGGGCGCTGGAAAGGGGGTGCAGGAGAGAGGCATAGAAAGGTACTTGGGCGTAGGAAGAAGCGAGAACGACCTGCTGCTCCGAGAGAGCATGCCCTGCCAAAGCTCGGGACCTGGGGGTCAAAGAGGGGGCGTTGGGAATCACCTGGGGACCCTCGAAGAGTGGCCGAGGCGGTGCCCCCGCCGCAGCAAAGATAGAAAGGAGCATATGCTGAGACACAGTCCCGGGCGCTGCAGAGCTGGAGCACCGTCGCAGCAGTTTTGGGGACGTAGAGCCCGCACACTTAGAGAATGGGCTAGGGTGGCGCGCATTGGGGGGTCTAGAAAAGCGGTTTGAGGAGACCCGGGCTAGTGCCTAGGAACGTCAAAGGAGGAAGAGGGAAGCAGGAAAGTCGACGGAAGAACTTCCTCGGTTTGGAGAGCGCGCGTACCATGGGCGCTGGAAAGGAAAAGAAAGCTAGCGTGGGAGAGGTTTGGTCAGGGCTCTGAGCACCACCAGGGAGGTGCTGATTGTTTGGGGAGACCCCCAGAGCCTGAGAAAGGTGAGGAGGAGGTGAGGAGGGCAGAGAACTCCTATCGCGCGGGGCAGTGAGAAAGGGAGCCACAGAGTCGCACTGGGTCCCCGGGACGGGCGCAAAGCCGCCCGGGTCTCTCCTCCCGGGCGGCCCCTGGCCCTAATCCACTCACCATGATGGAGAAGACCAAAGCCACGATGTTGATGGGGTACGCAGGGCAAAAACACGAGACGATGGCGAGCCACAGGTAGTTCTTGGGCATGGGCACGTCCTCCTCGGTCTTGTCATCTTCAGTGTTGGCCTCGGGACTGCTGTCCAAAGCCCTCTTGAAGTCCGAGCTGGGGGCGTACTGAGACATGGGCGAGACCCGGGCGGAGGAGCGCACGGTCGGCGCGGTCTCGGGCTCTGGCCGCCGGCTCGCGGCAAGGCTCTGAAAAGCCAGCGGCGCGGGGCTCAAGGGAGACGTGACCTCACCCCTGCGGCGTCCTCCACCAGTGCCCGCCCAGGCTCAGGGACCCGGGCCAAGAGCCTCCCCACAAGGAGGGAGGGAGAGAGGCGGGGGGAGGGGGAGGACAGAGGGAGCCAGTCAGCCTGGGAAGCGGGAAAGGCAGACGAAGACACTCCACTCCCTGGTGGACACACCCGGAGACCATCAGACGGACGCACGGACTCACACTGGGAAGTCCGGAATAAGGGAGGCGCAGGGAAGCGAAGGCCCCTAAGTTCCACCTGGCCAGCCTGTGGGCTGAAGATGACCAGCTCATGTTTCAAAGCCACTGAATCTGAAGCCATTTAGATGGGACGAGGACCCACCCAACCCAGTTGGCAACAGACTCACTACTGCCTCTCGACTTCAACATTTTACCTTAATTGTCTGGCACGGGAGGCATTTCATTGGCTTTCCCTGGCTCAGCCCCTTCTACTCAGACCTCCCCCCAAGGTGGGCGGGAGGCAGGTGCTCAGCTTTGGCCTCAACACTTCTCAATACTCTCAACGAGCTCCACTCCACGGGGCTCGGGGCTCGGGAGGCTGCAGCCCAGTGTACCCAGTCAGCGGGCACCGCCCCGTCCAGGTGCCTTCCACTTTTTCCCCCGAGTGTGGAAACAAGGAGTTCTTCTCCTCTCCACTTTTCCACCTACAGGACACCTGGAGAGAAATGCTGCTAGATCTGGCAGGTGTAGACAACTCAGATGGATAATTGGGATAGGGAGAAGAGGGAGGAATCCCCTTTGGGAACTGGGTGGACAACAGCAATTGTATCAGCGTCTAAGCCATTCATGAGAGGCAGTATGGACCAGAACTGAGGCTCCAAACCCAGTCAGAGCTGGGAAATCATCACCTCTGACTTGAGTGACTTCCAGATAGTCCCTTTACCTTGCTGAGTCACAATCTCTTCATCTGAAAAAGGGGACTAATAATAGACCCTGTCTCATAAGGGTGCTGTGAGGACTGTATGAGATTGCACATTAAGCCAGGTGAATCTACATGCTCAATAAATGTTAGCTATAATTAGGATGCTATTTCCCCCTATATTCTGAACTATAGTCAATTATATAGTATTTTAAACCTGATATCCATTGTTTCAAAATTCTACCAAAAATCCAGATATTCTGAGCTGTCAGGACCACAAAGACATGAAAACAGTTGCTCCCATCATCATGCTTGAAAGTATTAATCATCTGCTGGGCTTTCCCAGAACATGAACTGAATGTCTGGGATGCCCTCACTTATCTCATGGGGCCATACTTATTTGTTTATCTGCCTCCCTCACTGGACTGCAAAGCCCTGGAGAGAGGGGACTATCTTGCACATCTTCGAGTCAGCACCTGGCACAGTGCTGATACAAGGTGTGTGCTTAGTATAGGTTGCTGGGAGAACGCACAAGAGATGAAATAGTATCTTCTCCATCATGCACTCTCCCCCATTTTGGCTGATTAATCAAGTGGGAATAACCCAAAGATGAGATTCATCTACTGAATTCTCAACCAAGTCTTTGCATGGACTGTTCCCTCTGCCTGGAATGCTGTTCTCCACGACTGTTACATGGCTCTTCCTTCTTATTACTCACTCAGCAGCTCAAGTCACTTCCTCAAAAGGAAGTCTTTTCTCTGAATTTATCTAGCATAGGTCCCCATAATTATCCTGTATTTACCAGCTTGGTTTTTTTTTGTGTGTGTGTGTGGCATGTGTGTCACAATTGCAATTTATTTGTGTACTTGTTCATTGTCTGTTTTTTTCTCTAGACTGTAAGGTGTCTAACTTGTTCAAGAGCTGTATTTCCAACACTTAGAATTGTTCTGGCACATAATAGGAATGCAAGAAATATTTCTTGAATGAATGGACTGGAATTACCTGGAAGTATTGAAAACTAATTTCCAGATCTTTCTAGACCTACTTGAATTAGAGTTTCCCAGGGTGGCACCCCAGGAATCTGTAATTTTTAATGCCTGAGAAATCTGCAGTTTTAGAACACTCCCTGGTAATTCTGTTGCAATTAGACAGTTTCTCAAATCCTAATATTGTCTCTAGTTCTTAGGACATGGTCCTGAATCTTTTGTTTGGAGATGCCCTCAGGCGTCTCAAGCTCTAGCTGTCAAAGGGGGACTCAGTGTCTTCCCCAAGAACCTATTTCTCAAGACTCGGTCCTCGGCCAATGAGCCTGGCTCATTTCTCCAACATCCTCTTCTGCCAACCCTCCCCTTTCTTACTGCCCTTCAGTTACATAGGCTTTTTTTCCCCCTCCTTTCTCAAACACACCTACCTTTCCCCGTCCCAAGACTGTACCTGCTGTTTCTTCCACCGGGAAAGCTTCCCCCACTCTTTACTTGTTCACTCTTTTTCATCTGTCAGGACCCGGCCACCTTGCATAACCTCCTGTGAGAGGCCTTCCCTGGCCATCATATCTAAAGTGGACTTTACCCTCTTATTCCTCATCCATTACCTTGTTTATTTCCTATGTCACAGTTATCACAGTCAGCAATTGTCTTGTTTATTTTTTTGTTTACTTATTTACTTCCTGTCTTTACCACTAGAAAAGAAGGTCCACAAGGGTAGAGATTTTTTTTTTTTCCTATTTGAGTCACTGCAGTATGCCCTGCCCCCAGAACAGTGCCTGGCCCTTAGTAGGTGCTCAATAGACAATTCATTGAATGAATACACGGGGCGTTTAGTCATCCAAGTTAGGATCTCTTGGGGGCATCATTCTCCTCTTCCCTTCAGCCTCTGTGTAAACTATTCATCAAACCCTATTGATTCCATCTCAAATGTGACTCTTCACCCCACCTTCTTTTTCCCAGCCCCATGGCCAGTGTTCTGATTCTGATTTTTATCAACAACGAAAAGGTTCGATGGGTGCTCTTTGAGCTGTATTGGTTATCTGAGGCTGGTTAATTTACTTGGTACAACTAAACCCAAGGTTTGGGTCCCAAATGAAGTTTTATTTTTCAAGGTCATGAACTGTACTGTCCACTCTAACCCACTCATGTCATCCAGGGAAATCCAAAAGGAGGGGTTGTTGACTCAGCATAGACTATTTCCTCTGCCAGGAAAACAACTGTTCAACACTAGTCCAACACTCCTGAATCAGGAAACATTTACCAAATACTAATGTTGCATTCGAAGCATTCTCTACATGTATCATCTCATTTAATTCCAGCAGTAAGTAACTTTTGTGAGGTAGGTGGTGAGGTTTTCTTTATACAAAGGAGGAAACCTAGCATCAGAGAGGTAACAAGACTTATGTAAAGTCTTATAGCTAAGTGGAGGAGCCAGAATTTGAGCTAGGTCTAAGATACTTGTTCAGCTAGCAAGTCCAGGCCAGAAAGTTAGATGGACATTTCTGAAGTTTGTGGGGGTTATTATGTTCTGCTCAGGGAAGATGGATTAATAGCTTGTTTACTGGTCTGAAATGTAGCAGTGAAACTGCAATCACTTGAAACATTTACAATTAAATAGAAAAGAAAGTGCCCACACCAGAAAGTGTAATGTATATGGCACTGATTCTTGAGGGATGCATTAGAACACTCAGTAGTAGTTTCCAGCTCTAATTTCCTGAGCTTCACTAATTTTCTCTTGAGAGGTCAGTTTATTGCTCTTGGATGAACCCTACTGGCTGATTGCTTAATAATGTGGCAATACCTTCCCTCTGTAAGATGAGAGAGAGAGAGAGAGGAGGGAGCAACTTCCTAATAGCCAGACTGGAAGAGGGGAAAGGCTTACTTACTACAGCTTTCTGGATTCCAATATAGCAACTTGCCTTTTTGATCTTCAAAAAAAGTTTTACTTCTAAACATGAAAGTAATATATATTCATTCTAGAAAAGTGAGAAAACGAAAAATAGCATCAACAAGAAGTAGTATCACCTAATGGTAACTGCCACAAACACAAGGAAGTATTTCTTTCTAGTTCTCTTTCTTCATGTATATATTTTGCTTCACTAAAATGAGATAACATATAGTTTTGTTTCCTCTCTTTCTCACTCAATGTTATATGACAATTCACATCTTTGCAGATATTTTCATAGTCTGCATAAGTTCCTATTAAGTGGATTATTACTTATATCATTAGGCCCTGATCACTAGAAATTAATCTTATTTTTTAGTGGTTTTTTTGTTATTATAAAAATTGCTGTGATGAACATCTTTTGTACCTGAATGTCTGCATTTATGATCATTTCTTGGCCTCTTGATCTTACAGGGTAGATATCAGTCTTTGAAAACACAGAGAAAGCTCAGACTGGCTTATTGAGAAGTTGTATGGCATGTAAAAAAAGGTAAAATTAAAATTTAAGTGAAGGAAACCACCACAGATCCAATGAACTATAGAAACGAGATACTTCGCATGAGATGGATTCAAATGACAACTTCCCAATGCCAAATGGATCCCTAAATCTGTAATATTTAGTGGAATGAGGTTGATTCTATTAACATGTGCTGGAAATCTATGCTTTTCGATCTTAGCTATGTTTAAGATTCATCTTAGGTATGTTTAAGCTATGTTTAAGGAGAGAGGGGAGAGAGAGGGAAGTGGGGAGAGAGGGGAGAGGGAGAGAGAGGGAGGGGGAGAGAGAGAGAGAGAGAGAGAGAGAGAGAGAGAGAGAGAGAGAGAGAGAGACACTGCTGATCTGCGAGAATGCAAGAGAGTCCATATCTTTAGGAAATGGTAAGAGGTCGAATGCATTTGCTGCCAAATTTCGCATTAGTCTCAAGTACCAGGCTTTAGTAGTCATAAAGCAACTGTGGTCTCAGGGATTTGCTACAACAGAACAGTATCTTTTTGGCTAATATTATTAGAAAACCATTTACCTTTCCAGTTTCTAAAACCTCTGGTCCTCTCACAAGGTAAAACAAACAAATAAACAAGAATAACAAAAAAACAAGAATGGGGAGAGGAAGTATTGGTGGAAACAGTTTCCGTATTATTAATTTTTTAAACCATGAGTTTTAATGAAGCAACTTCAGGACAGAAGAAGGTAAAACTCAAACAGGCTTAGAATGTAATTCTTTCCCCAGTTGCCCTCCATAAGAAAGTGTCCATCTTATCACTCTTCTTCCTGA